TACCCACGGAGCCCACTTGTCCTTTAAGAGTCGATCGAAGTACTTGGACCGCTTGATCGCCAGACTGTGAGCCAAACAAATCGCGGTGCGATAAAAAAAGAAAAACGTTCCATGATTTGCATGTGGGCTGAATACTGCCATACCCAGGCCAATGCATTGACGATTTATATCAGTTCTTCATTTTATCCAATTGCATATTGANTTTGATGATTCCATCGACTGCATTCCAATGAGATATGAAATTAGATCTTACATTAAACTGCTAAGTATTAGCAAGTCATGATACAAAACTGGTTTCTCCATTTTAATCCAATTTGTGTATAGCCTCTTAAGGTTTTCAAAGCTCTTGTTTAATGTTCATTTTCTTCAGGTGGATTTGAAGCGTTCAAACTCCTCCGCTCTACAGATTTTATCGACCGTGGTCCTCCTGTCTCCATCACCGTATCAAGTGTTGAAGATGTTGCCCGTCCATTCTATCCAAATGATAAAACTGTTGCCCCAATCCTCCCACCTACCCGGCCGCACCTCATGGTTTTGGAGTGTGTCACCGGTTTACGGTCCGCTAGCTGTGACCCTCCTGGTCCAGTCCACTGTGCCAAACTTAACGTTCAACCTCTGTGCTCTTCCCCTAGTCAACCTCTTTTAAACACAACTAACACTACCCCTTTCTCTGGTGGATTCGATCTGCCCTCGCTCAATGTGCGTGGTATGCTAGCCGCCCGAATAAAACGACGAAATCCTGACAGTAATCCGAATTCTTCTCTGTCTGCCTTTCCGCGATCTCCTCGGGACGACCAGGATGAGGATGTCATGAGCGCGAGCATTTCGAAGATTTTACCCTATCTTTATTTGGGTGAGTGCGCTAATAATAATACCCAACCATTGACTCGAAACTATTCGATAACTGTTGCTTATCTCCTTTTGCGTTCAATTTCATGAATGTTCTTTCACTATGATGCGGTCCTGGAAGCAGTATCTCAGTAATTGCATATCATCTAACGATTATCTTGGAGTGCGCTTCATGAGTGAAAGTAGCTCCACGGAAGTCAGCCCACGAAATAGTATAGGTGTATAAATAACTTGACATCTAAATGGCCTCAGTCGGGCTCTTCAATTGCTGCATCCACAGGGATTACGTCATCCGTAGAATATGGCGGATGACCTCGTCAATGGAATATGGCTCAGAATAGGAGCCAAAATCCCTGTTGCTGTTCAAATTTACTAAAACCTACTCAGCAGCCACTGCCAGTACTATACCGTTGCACAATGTGAGTTGTAGTATCACTAAGCAGGCCCTTCTTTTTCTTCACAACATGAAGCCAGTAGATAGCTTTGAGGCTAAGATTAAAAGAGCCGTAGGTTACCGGTAGCGTTCCCAGGACGCCGATGGGAAAATGTTGTAGTCGATTGCGGGGTCGTGGTGGCGCAGTGGTTTAGTCGCTGTCACCGACTCGCTTCGGACTCTGTCGTCCGCGGCTCGAGCCCCGCCACCGCCACCCAACTTAGGTGGTAGGCAGCTTTGCTGTCGCCCGGTTCTATCCCACGCCTGACCTAGTGGGGTCTTATGTGGTTCGTCTGGGGCTTGGGTTGCCGGCTACCATCACTGAACAGCAGGTGTTCCTGACTATGAGGTCCGCACCGTCTGCTATGTAAAAGAAAAAAAATCGCTGAACAAGCGGTGGTGTACTCTCGGTGGGGATATCTAAGAACGGTGGGTTTTCGCCCAGCGAGCGATCTTTCTCCAACAGAAGCCACAAATGGTCGTCGAAACTTTTGGTATCAATCTGTTGTCCTGCATAAAACTTAGCTTTCTAAGCATCATATGCTAACACTCCTTGTAAGGGGCCGAGTACCGTTGAGTTGTCACCACTGTTTTGCTGGTGTGGTGGGAGTGTCTTGGGTCGTGGTTGGTCACCCATCCCTTGCACCTCAAAATGCTACGACTAAGCATCGCTGCTAAGGAAGTCCTACTCACTGTTTTCCCGTAACAGTGTTTTCCCACCAAAGTGAGAGGACGAAAAGCCAACATTCGGGGCGGTAACCCGGTCGGTGAGCCACTGTCAGTTCACCTAGGGGAGTTGGCAGGATACCCTGTTTCCAAACCAACCATAAAGAGGCGTACGAACTACACACGCACACCGTGGCAGTGGTAGTGGTCACTGGCTCAATTGGGCATGGAGATGTATTGAGAACCTTGGATCTCGTCCAAAGGGTGAAAGCTCCGCTGAACTGGACATCGACCCCAATCGATTATGGTTTCCCAAACCGCTCTGCTGCCTTGCGGGTCAGATTTTGACCAGCCGAACACCACGGTAGTCAACCCCCTAAGAAAATTCACCTTGGCATCGATCAGTGCAGCTTCACCGTATTACTCTGTACGTTGATGATGATTTTGATAGTGCGACACATATCGTAACTGGATACTTCAATCGCCAAGCGGTTTAAAGCAAGCTGGACTGTATGTGTGTTGTCATCGAGCAAGGCGGTTCCATCAGTTCGAATATTCCAAGTCAAAAACTTGGTTCTCTGTGAGGAAATAAACCCCACCGTTTACTGGACCGAACAAAGCATTGTAGAAATTTCTGTGGCAAAGTTGTAAAGGAAAGAGGATATAAGGTGATATTGTCATACTTTTTTGGGGACGACAAGGAGTGGCGAAAGCTTTTCATTGGCTTTACTCCTAGTATGAGGTCAATTGTATGGAATTAAACAAAATACGAAAGCCTCTTTGACCATTCACCTCCATATATTCTGTCAGCCGGTCGAATGTCATGCGATCCTCCTCGATAGGTATAAGTGCGGTTTTGCGCTCAAGCAGCAAAACCTGACGGTCTTCCGTTCTTATATGTTAGAGAGGTGAGGTGCTGACTTTGTAGACTACAGAACTGACTTATTGCACAACATCGGGTAGCAGGAGCATTGCTTTATCTTCAAGCGAATCAGTGATCGTTCCAATTTTCAGGAGGGTTTATCGTAGTTTCACTTTGTACTACCATAAACCCTGCAATTTTATACGTCGGTTTTGGTGAGTCTTTTGCCTGCCAATTTGGATAAAAAAGCAAATTGAAGATTGGGATGTTGAAAACAGTCAAAAAGAATAATTCATATAGATGGATTGCAAGAATTGAGTTTATCATAATGACTGCACAAATGACCGCAGTACAAGTTTGATTCTAACCACCATCACTACGATACTACACCTTAACGTGGTGTGATGGCTTGTGCACCTCTGTGACCCAACGAGCTACGCAGGATGGCTTTATAAAGCCAGGAGATCTTATCATGCCTGGAAGGTCAATGGGTAGAGGTCAGCCGAAGTTCGGTCTCCAGGTTGGGGGTTCGCCTGGAATTTGGCGTTTCAGTCGATAAAAAACGGTGGAGTAATTGATCCAAGTAAATGGGCCTCCACTTCGCCTCACCCGCTGCCTTGCGGTTAGGTTCTTGTTAGAACTAAAGGCTTTGGACGAGAACCCTAATCGTTCCCCTGTTTAGTGGCTGGACACCCTAGCAGTACCCGTCCACCAAACCCCAATGCATTTTGGCAGCGGTCAGTGAAGTTCGCTTCACGGTATTTCGCTGTACGATGATGACCAAGGTATTAGTTTTTGTCATACTTCTAACGAGTATTCGCGAACAGTAAACAGAATTCCAATCATGTCGCAGTTGGGTCGACCAAATCTTCGTGTTACTTCATGCTCCCGAGTTACGCCCTACACATCATCGACCAACAATAGCAGTATTCCTTGATTTGGTTGGGCAGCCACAGAGTTTTAGGTAACTACGGTCACCCACTGGAGTCAGTGGTTGACCCCCATAGATTAAGTTGGTTACGGCATGTGTTACGCATGTCACCAAATAGGTTGCCACGGCGAACCGTGTTCGCCTAGACAGGTAGTGGCGGAGTAAAGCCAAGGGTGGTCAAGCTAAGACCTGGCATGAAGGTATGTAAACCCTAACCAGGAGAATGGGTCACATAGTTCTTGTTAGGCTCCCTGGCTGGGGACCTCGGGGTGATCGTAGGTGACGGTTAGTGACAGTGATATGGCTGAGTGTCGTTCGTACATCTTTACAGTTTCTCTGCAACATTAGTCCACGGAAATTCTTCCTTTTCTATTCGACCCTAATTTGAACTTTCCTGTTCCCCCCCCCACTGTTCATCCAAATGGACGGCCAACAAACAGCACAAAAGTGCATATGGTGCATAATGGTTGTTCAAACTGAATTGATTTAAAAGAAACTCACTTTGTTTGCTTCTTTGAGAAAGAATGCTGTAGAATTAAATGAACCTATTGAAGTCACTGTACTCCTATACATATATCTGTTTTTCCCAGGCAGCCTTTTTATAGCCACAGCCCCCTTCTTGAAGGTTAACTGTACATTTGTATATTCAATAAATAGAAAAAGGAGGTAAAAAGACATATTTTTTATTTACATCTGATAGAGTAAGGGTATATGATGGGCTGTTTTGGCTTTTTTACATTTATGCGCCTCCAAGGGCACCTGTATAACTAACATAAACGTATCCACTCGTCTGTCAATGATTTCTATTTTTCTGCTGTGTTGAATGACTTTTTGCCTAGTGACGTTTTACGGTTGCTGTTTCTGCCTGTGATAAGTGCACGCTCGTGGCAGATGCATCAATGTCAAACACGCTAACTCACCCGAACCAACTGAGTTTGTGAATTACATATATCACCAGCTTATTACCGTGTCATCTGAGCTATTTCTATCTTAACTGCTGTTTGTCTCTCAGTAGTATGTCATTTACGAGGGTGGAGTGGAGCTGTCAAGTGTGCGACAGTTGCGAGACATTGACTTTGATTCCTTAGTTATGCACGGACTATTACTTCGATTCTTCGCCGTTTGGTGTTCCGTGGAGCTGTATCCATCGACCTGAATCATAGGTTTACAGTGTCTGCTGTAATGAACATGGAATCGTTGAATTGAATTGAGGTTAACAAAATCACCTGATGGAGGCAAGAATGTAAACTGTGGAAATTCCCGCAGTTCTTTGTTTCCAGGTGCCCCGGAACACGAATTAGAGATTCGAACGCTGCAGAGTGTTTGTTGTTCCGCAGAGACCCATAAAGAAAAAACAAAAATAAAACAGGCAAAACCAATGTACAGGGAAACACCAGGAATATATGTATATCACAAATATGATACTCGAGACCTAATTTCTGTACCGTACCCTATCAGTACTTTACCTACTATTTTTTATAACCTCAGGAAATGCACGCGATGCGCAGAATCTGGACCTGTTGCGTCGTGTCGGGATTACTCACATCATTAATGTGACCGAAACAGTCCCAATGCCTTTCAAACGTCCCGTGCCGTTTACATACCTGCATTTGCCCGCTTCGGACACGATCAACCAAGATCTTAGACCGGCTTTTGATCGTGCTGTACAGTTCATCGGTAGGTTCTTTTCACTTTTCACCGATGCTGTGGTTTTCGTTATTGTCATTCCTATCGTGACCAGCGTCAGTGTTGTTATCGGGAACTGAGATCTCACCGCGCTGGTGATTGGAGGTGTTGGTTGAGTGTCCATTCTTCGTGCCTTTGGTTCGGCGTCCATTCGTAATATTTTCTACTCTTGTCAAAGAAGGTTACTAGTTGAACAGTAAACCCTTAGAACCAAGCGCCAACCATATTTCTCTTAGGAGGAATAACATAACATAACAATCACAAGCTGACCAGGTTGAAAATTAGTGGTTATAAACTGCATAGCATAATTCCATATGAAGGTAGTATTATCGTTCGATTTGCACTAAGCGATTTCTCATTTAGTGGATCGATTTGTGATATGTGCTAATTCACACTGATCACGTAGGTTACCGGTTTTCCACTGCACATCATTGTTGAGCTGGATCTCCCAAATGTTGATCTGCATGCTACTAGGCTTTCAATAGATTTTCAATATGAAATCACATCATTCAGTGGAGATTGCTATAAATCAATCGCTGCAAATTGCGGAGAATCACCTGTCGCAGTCAAGCAACGGTAGGTAGGGTAGATTGGACATCTGGCTCTTTACGAAAGCTGCATGGATCCCTATGGATGCACAGCGACAAAAGTCAGTGTGATGAATCTTAAGAAAATTAAAATATCAGAGCGGGGTCAAAGATGGGTAAAAGTTTCCTCACTTCGCTACGTGTGAATTGTGCAATAATAAGCTTGTTCACCGGTGCTACTCTGTTGGCTGGAGGTGTCATAATTTTTTACTCTTCTACATAATGGGCTAATCGAATGGGGTAGACTGGCCTCATCAGATTCACGAAGACTCATGGGGGTTTCTTACAAGAGATATCCTTTGCCTTTATATTATATATTTCACACGTGTGATGTCAGACTGTGTGCCTTTTGGTGGATGCGATTCAAGGATTTATGCATCCTTTTTGTTGTGGCATCTTTGTTCTGTGAGTGATAGACCGGCAGCAAGTCTCGACTATTACTTCACCAGTAGGATCGCAGACCGTACATCGTGTCATCGAGGATTTCACACCCAAGTTACTTGACTCTTTTATCAGTTGTATTCCCTCGTGCATTCCTCAGCTTCTGTTAGCCACGGTTCAAAATGAGATGAATGATAGAAACCGAGCAAGTATAGCATACTTCAAGGGACTCGACAATTTACAAACCAAGATGTATCGTTTCCGTCAGATATCCGTTCGCAAGAAAATTCTAGGATGTCTGTAATACATAGGTATCTTCATGCTTTTTGGTTCCGTCATTCACGATGGAGCTGATAGTGGCAAGAGAGGCTATACAATCACTTTATACTTGCACTCATTAGTGGTTTGGTGCGACGTGATCGAATGAAACAATAACAAAAATATTAGTACTACTAATAATAATAGTAATGTAAAATGCGTACAGACATTGTTTTTGTATATCCTACCTAAGCGTGTAATTCAAATTATCCTCTACAGATGAGGCGCGCAAACGAAACGGCATCGTCTTGGTGCACTGCCAGGCCGGTGTCTCCCGCTCAGTGGCCATTGTCATGGCCTACCTGATTCATTCGGCAAAAAAATACACTGTGCTCAATGCCTTGGAATTTGTGCAAAATCAACGTCCGGTTGCTGGACCAAATCTTCATTTCATGGGACAACTACAACGTTACTATAACGAGCTTCATACACGCAATTTTGTACCACCCTCACCGAGCACAACTTCAACCCTCCCAGTGGCAGCTCCGCCTCCACCAGCAGCTATGACTGCTCCGTTTTCTAGTCACCCCTCCAATTTTCAAGCCGTTCCCAATGCCGTGGATGCGGTCTTTTCTACACTGGATTTCGATTTCGCTAAATAGTTTGTTGTCAAACAGTGCACACCAACCCACCGTTCCGAAATCGGTTTTGCCTTGTCACAACCGGCCTTCGCATTCGATCCCGTTTTTATGCAACGCACTGCTCCTATGTGTGTGCGCAGCTTTTTGTATTTTTCTCCCACACGTTGATCCCCTATTTCTCCCCTGTTGCATCTGAATTTCGTCGCGCTTCGTATATTGCTCATTTTGTACGGTCCCTGGGCTCATTTGATCATGTCTCCTGTATCGTCCTTGGACGTTCCCCTACCACACCAACCTCGAATTCCCACCTGCCTGCTCCGATCGGTGCGACATGAACGATGTACTCACATAAAACTATCATATCAGAACGCGTTCTGTGATATACATTCGTTGTTCGTCGCAACAGTACCCCGTTACTCGGCCTTTTAAGTCCCTGTTCGGTTCTTATCTAGCCTGGACGACAAAGTCGAAGGCTGTCCTTTTTCTGGGACATGGTATTTAAATCATCACAACCGCTCTATTCTTTCTGTAATTTTCAACCATGGAACAAACAACCATCCTTGTATCGAATCACAACCGCTGATGCATTCGCAGTCCTACACCATCACCGCTCCTCTGTCCCAAACACGGTGTATTCTCTGTCACCTCCCTATCCCTTCCCCTCTTCCTATCTCACGGAAACTTGCCCGTTTGTCGGTCCCATTCTCTTTTCAAGAGCTCTGTACACTACTACTCACAAAATAAATCGCGTGCTGACTCGCGGTTTGAACAATCCTTTCCACGGTTTAAAGTTTGTTTCACGAACGGGTACAGGTTTTGGAGATTTTGACCCGGCTAAGCTCGACTGTATACAATCAGTGGCTCTCAACTTATCTCGCTATCCTGATTGTAAGAGTGTTAGACAACAAACTGACCAGAAGACCTGGGCTTTTCACATTTGCAAAGTGTGAGTGTACTATTTGTGTTTTGTTCCCCACTTTCAACTTAACCGAATTGTTTCCCGAAAGACTGCACAATACCGTCGTATTGAAGTGCAGAGTTAACGGTTGTTCCCAATGAAAGTGATTACAGAGGAACGATTGCTGCTATTGCAAATATCCAAAGCCTTCTCCATCTCCACAGTTTGCGACGTATCACTTACAGTCGTTAATCTACCTCCTATTGATCTGGGTGTAGCGCAAGACATCTGCGCATTGTCGATTTGCATTTGGTGAGCGATCAACAATCGAGCAGGGGTGCTTTAATTGCTTGGTTGTTATAATAGATTTGTTGTCTGCCGGTAAATTGATGATCGATCCAAATAGATGGGTTTATACTCTCCTTTAGGTACTGCTTTGTGACTAGGTTCTTGCCAGAATCAAAGCTTTGGTTGAGAATCCCGATGGTTTTCCTGCTTAGTGTTTGAAATTCTCAGCAGTACTCGTCCATTGAACGTAAACAGATACACAAACTGTAAAGTATCCCCTATTTCCTCGTTCGTCGTGCAGGACAATCAAGATCGCGCTAATTATTGCATTGCGCAGGATGGGTAGTGAGCTACTACTCAGGCGTCGTAAACCATTGCTCGTGTTTTATCTTCCATTTTCAATTCCTTGCTCCTTCCACTGACCCGTAAAGTGCACCCTAGTCACTATCCTCGGTAGCGTAGATCCGACGAAACACCGCAAGGTGTCTGGATCAGGCAATCTGCCGCCGACCCTCCTCAAAGATGGCGGAGAACTTCTCTTGAGAAAGTTTTCCAGACCATTCTCGAAGACTTAGAAAGGCAAAATGTACCCCCTACAGCATGTGTGTGTGTGGGGGGGGGGGGGAAGGAATCGATTGTTACACCCATTTACTAGAGGGGTTGTCACAATACGTGCTCCCTGCAAAGGGGCATGAGTATGATTCAAAAAGCACCGAGGCTGTTAGCATTCGTTCTATTGCGCAAAAAATACTCGATTCATGGGAGCCAAATACTCGAAGAGCTGCCGGGTTTCGTGCACAACTTGCTTGCGTAGATGAAATTTTCGTTGCTCGTCACCTGCTGAGATACCGCCACATATATAGGCGACAACCTATTGTCGTTGTCAGAGTGGCCTTCCATTCCATCGATCACCTCGCCATGTGGACTTGTTTACTTTGATGCGTAGTTGGGTCGATGGATTCGTACTGATGATGAGACCCAACCGGGTCGAAACAGCTGTCCAGTGCTTCCGAGCTTCTCAGTTCACACTTCATTTGCTATACACACGACGAATTCCCATTTGAAGTTTAACCAAATCCGCCATTACTCACATGAATTATTCGAGAACTATACCTTGCTTCTAAATTTACTATCGGCGGGGCTTAGGGTTCGTGATGAACCCTCAACCTTTTTTCCCTGTTTTTCCGTTTCTCTTCATAAATGAAGTCCTGCAAAACATTGCTTAACGTAACGAACGTTTGCGTTGAGCTTCTTCATGGTGACAGTCGTCCGCCGATGTCAACGGCCCGCTCTTTCACAAGACGCCGAATCGTTTGGCAGTGGAGGCTGCTTGTTGTATTTCCGTGGCACCTTCAAAGTGCAAGGTATCACTACAAGATTGGTAGGAACCTGTTCCTGCACTTTTGTTGGGTAGTGGTACTCGCAGTTTTGAGAGCTGTATAACGGCCGGCGGAGATGTAGACGAGTTCTCCCAACTCTTAGTGAAAGCAAAAGTTGTGCTTGCTAATCTGCGACATCCCTTACGTAATGGGACTTGTTGCTCTACGACTGCGTAACTTGACCTCTTCGACCAGATGATGTCCATTGACTATCTTTTTTTTGATGTTTGTTGTTTGCGCTACATCAGTCGCGTATGATGGGGTCATCGCTTCTGATGACGTCGCTGACACCGGTGTGACGCCTCATATGATTCGTCATTCCGAGTTCCGGTGCAGGTCTTAATGAATATGCGGTCCGTCCCGTCTGCTGTTCATCACATTAAATTTTGATAAAACGGATAGTTTTCCGTTGAGCAAAATCATTTCAATGCATGACTCGGACTTGTCCTACGAATGCATGAGCTACGTCTGCTCTATCGTGCACTGTTTGCAGGCATTGGATCGTACCGCAGGAAACCATGAGGTGGGCCCGCTAAGACGTGACATAGAGGGTTGAAGAAATTGTGTTCGGATCTGGTTTCCGCCGGTGGCCCACAGTTTCCACGCTTGTTTTCCAAAGATTCAAATTACCCATGACTGGAGACACTGCGGGAAGTGGCATTGAACCGAAGTCAGTGGCGTGGATGCAGCTTTTCTTGTCTGCGACTCCAAGATCAAAAGGACTAAAAAGTCAAGTGCATACAACAAACAATCAAAACGATGCTATCACAACCGAAAACCGTTTGTTTTCGACCTGCTTTGTATTTGTGTTTCCACTCCTAACTGTTTGGATACCGTGTAAAAATTGGTGTCAACATAGCAGACCGTCCATCTTGGGCGGGCGGCAGCTGTCCAGTGAAGTGCGAAGACTTCTCTCACCGTCAGAAGAAGGCACCTGATTCCCCGCACCTACGTCTGTCTAGCGGTTTTTTGAATGGTTAAATGCCCCTCCCCACTAATTGTTACCGAACTCATGATGAATACAAAGTAAGTCAGACTGTGTGAAGAGTAGTAGACTTCGCCGACTAGGGCACGTGTTGCGTATGCTCAGCTGTCATCTGCCGCACCGCTGTAGCCGCTCCGGGTTGGAGGAAACTACGTGGACGTCAATGTCATCATCCATGTGGCCTCCTTCAGGCTGCAGCGACCACTGCAAATAGGGCGTGCTGCGGTATGCGACCGTCGGACATACGCAAAACATATCCTACTCAACGGAGCCTATTGAGCTGAATTCGGTGCAACATCGAGTTCCAGTTCGGTGCGTTCCCACACACTCGACTACTTACTTCTAGGTTACTAACCCGCTCAACCCATTCAACCTGAGCCAAACTACGTAAGCATTGATTGTCGAAAAACACCAGGCGACGAATGTCTTCTAACCGCAATTCCAAGGTCTCACAACCATAAAACAGACCTGAGCGTACAGTGCCTCTTTTTCTACGAAAGCGAAACGTCAGTCCGTCGCCACAGGTGTTTCAGTCCTGCGTACACTGGTCTAGCCTTAGAAATGCGGACGGTTGTCTGTTTGATGCGCTACCGTCGTTTGTCATGCGGCTACCCACGTACGAGAAGCAGTCAACTTCAGCTAAAAATTTACATATTCATCACCAAAGCAACATAAGAATGACAGAAGACTGGGGGATGGATGGGATACAAAGCAGTATGAAGCGGGTCAGATGATCAAGTTCAAACACGAGGAAAACAATTTTTTGTTTGCACACCGTGCATTTTTGGATGTTTTTCGTGCAAATTCACCGTTCTTTTATGGGTCAAGTCATTTCAACTGGCAGACCGTATAGCATTCGCGCCACTGACTTCCATTCTGGGCCATATATATCTCAGCGTCTCTAACCAATGACAATCCTCATCTCTCAACCTGAAAGGTGGGCTCGAACTGAACGGTTGTGTCTACTGCGGTGAGTTATGCTTTATGTTTGCGTGACCCTAAATTGACGCGTGGAAGATACTCTTCGTCTCACAGTCTTCCACTACCGATGTTTACGTAGTTTGGCGCGGGTTGGATGAAGCAAGCGCTTAAGCAACTCTAAGGTAGGCCCTTCGTATCTGGTAGTGATTCGATGGAGAATTCGTTGTCCCATCGAATGCAGATGAATCGGCCTCGCTGGTTAGAACACGTATTGCGCATGCCCAACCATCGTCTGCCGCACAGCGTCGTGACAGTGGGGTTCTGCTGTCCATCACACCTAGATGTGTAATAAAAAACATCACAATGTTCTAGCAGTCGTCGGAGGATGAAGATTTGATCGATGCATTCGCGACCGGCGCGAAACCCAGCCTGTTCCTCGCGGATCTGCTCTACCGCAATCGGCGGAGAATGACGGACGCCAGCAGCTTCGATGCTATCGGGATTAGGCTTATACCCCTATGAGTGACACAGTCACTGCGCGGGCTCACTT